CAGGATGTCTCAAGAAATAAAAAAAAAATGCTTAAGACAGAACTCGTTTGTGTAGCTTGCGCAATGTGCTCATAATTCAAATAAGTGAGTAAATGTTGCGAGTGATTATTAAAGAAGTTATAACACTCAAATTTGCATGAAGCCGTGAGCCTTATGCGGTGTGCGTGATTGAAAGTCGTGCTTTACAGCCATGTCACGGAAAGAGGGAGACATATATCAGTGCTGCCTTAATAAAAAATGTCATTCAGCGAAGTATTAAAAATCAAAAGAAGCCTGTCAGTCACGGCACATATAGTGTGCCTCCAGAAAAATGTGTTTCCTGAGTGGTTCCTTTCACGTACGTAAAATGGCTTTGTGGAACACCTGAGGTGCACGGGCCTCCACCCAGAAACCACTGCGTTATTATTTTTAACTTTTTTTTGAAGCTATCGCCGGTAACCACCTCATCACGACACATATCGACGTTGAGGCACTCAGGACACATATAAGGCATATTGCTCGGACACCCTGCCACCACCTAGCCTCTTTACCAGCAGACAGACCACGTTCGTCATTTTGCCAAATGGTCACCACACATCGCGATTCCTTGCCAACATGCTTCACACCCGCCGCCTGGCTTTCGGCTCCTCCCTGGTGCCTGACTCAGGCTAACATCAGGCTAACTATACCTGGCATCCAGAAAAAAAGCAGATATAGCGTCACCAGCTCTTAGACAGCTTGTTCTGCTCTTGTTATACGAGATGTATCAAGACTGTATAGACGTATACACCGACAGCTCTGTTTTACAGAAGGGTTCAACGGCATCATTTGTTATAGCGATAAAAGACACGACAAGAAAATTCAAGGCCACCCATCTAACGACATCAACGGGAGCAGAGCTCACAGCTCTCTGTGCCGCATTGCAATTCATCAGCGATCAACAGCCACAAAAATGGACAATTTTCAGTTACTCAAAGGCGGCACTGCAATCCCTTCTATCACCTTTACGCCACGGCCCGTACGAACAGCTGGTGTTTGAGATTGCAGAAAAGACTCACCAATTCATTGAGGAAGGACATGAAATAGCCTTTCAATGGCTCCCAAGTCATTGTGGAATAATTGGCAATGAACGGGCCGATTGAGCTGCCCGTTCTGCCCATACTGAAAGCGATTAAATATCAGTTCCGCTTTCCAGAACTGACGCTGCACGGAAACTCCGCATGCTTGCTCGCAAGTGCACCTCGTCACAATGGAACGAGTCACATTTCATTCATGCACGGTTAGGTACTTTGGATCCCACTCTTAGTCTTCGAATCCCTCCGGAATTACGCCGACGAGACGCTACTATTCTTTGCAGATTATGGTTGGCCGTCGCATTTACCAATGCGTACGCGTTCCGCATAGGAATGGCTGACACTGCTGCATGCGACCATTGTGGCAGAAATGAAACAACTTGGCACATTCTGTGTGAATGCCCACAATACTGCTCGCAGAGACAGTCACTCTGCAATGCACTAGATGAACTGGACAACCAGCCTCTTTCGGAAGAAAGAATCATGCGCTGCCGACAGGACTTTATGTCAAAGAAAGCTGTAAAGGCGCTCCTGCGCTTCTTGCGTTCAACCAGCCTGTCCAAACGACTGTGATCGGAACTCCCTAAATGTGTGCGCATGTGGTTTTTTTGTAATTTATTTTTTATCTCTCTATTTCTATCCTCTTTCCGACCCTTTTCCCCACCCCCGTACAAGGTAGCAAACCAGTTCGTCTAGGTTAACCTCCCTGTCTCTTCCTTTTATTTATTTCTCTCTCTCTCTCTCTCGTCTTTGAAGCAGCCTTTCAAGCAGTTGCTGGCCAGCAATTTGGAGGTCTGAAGGTTGACGCCTTTTTCACGTGTTTTACTTGTCGCGTTTATGACCGCCATCTCAAACTTAAAGATAAATTGCGCTATTGTTCAAAAACTACTTCTTGAAAAACAACACTGGTAGATTTCTGAGCCGAAGCATATGTGAGCCATCTTTTAAAGTCAAAAATGGCTACAAAAATGTAATATCGCTTCTAGAATACCGTTTCAAGAACAATGTTATCACACAGGTTTCATACGTATAGCCGCAAGTGCGTCATCTTAATGGCTTTAAGCAACATGGTCTCAGCTTGCTGTTGTTTGGCTTGCAGTCCCTCTCTAGCACTGTCACCATGGTTATTTCGCGCAAAAACATCTGTTGTGTAATGACATGTCACAGCCGCTTCGCTATGAAGTGAAGGCAAACTCATTGTTACAAAGCCACTGAAATATGTGCGACCAGGTTACATGCTATATTCTCTTAGGTTAAAGAGTTTCGCGTACATTTCATGTATGACTAGAACATACATTCTTTGAAATATTTGTTATAATTATACCCTGGAACATTCCATACTTTTCTGTGTCATCAGATTTGGATGCACGTTAAGAAACCCCAAGTAGTCGAAATTTCCGGAGCCCTCTACTACGGCGTCTCTCACAATCATGTGGTGGTTTTGGGACGTTAAACCCTACATATCAAATCAACCTTCCATACTTTTACGTAGCAGCCTGACTGTGGTTTAACAAGCGAGGTGTAACTTGCTGGTTATTATTGAGCCTATATTTAGTTTTCTTCAAAGAATTTCTTAGACCTCGCGTAGTTCAAACTTTAAGCCATGTTCGCATCAGAATGTGAACATTTTTTTTTGAAATGTCAACAGAAATATTTGAAATTTACAGAGAGCTTCACGTTTTGTTATTTTAAACAGAAATATTCAACTTCCTGTGTAAATCGCCAGAAAAACGAGTTTCTATTTCGAAACTATTTCTCCTGTAATGTCGCTTATGTCGAACGACTGTTATATTCCTCGGATCTGTAATCTGGAACACTGTGGCTCTAGAAATACGAGTATCTGAGAGTAAGCTTACTTTGGCTTGCAAACCATTTTCCTCGTCTCATAAATTGCAACACCTCTTCTTCCATGGATCTGTACTTCACAAAAACTTTCGTATGTAAAGAGAGAGAGAGAGAATTAAACTTTATTTGGTGACCAGGCACACATCCTTTTGAACCAGAGGTAGGCGATTTTCTCATTCTAGGTAGCCATACCTAGTGCACGAGGCCCGAGCCCTCTCCCCCAGCCGGAGCTGGTCCTCAGGATTCAGCGGCGTCAGCATCGCCTCCCACTTATCTTCCAAAGTGGCTTATCTGCTCTGTTCATCCGTGGACAGGGTTCTCTGGCTGTTTTGAAAGGCCCATACTACAAGGTTGGCGGTGTTTGCAGAGTGCGGGATGTATACTGACAATACCTGCTGTCACGTGACAGTGTAACAGATATTGTGTTTCCGCGTGGTCACTCAATCTTACGGGAGCAGGTGTCACTATTTCTCTTTAAGTTTTTCTCTGCTGCTGGGCTCGCATGTGACTGGTGATGAGTGCATGACGATTATTCGGGGGGGGGGGGGGGGGGTGCTGCTTTGAGACAGGGGTGTGGTACGTCTGACTACGTCCAACTTCCTAAGAACACATCCGCGCTCAGTTGAAAGCACACACACAATGAAAGATATTACTTCAATACAGCTAGGAAAGAGGAAACTGGGCAGGGCAATGGCCTGCGAATTTGGCAAGTCTAGATCCACCGGCTAAGTACAACATCCTAATACTGTGCATATAACCCTGCTGTAGTTGCCGTAGTGATTTGCATGAAGTAGTTTACTGTGCTACAATACATACGGAGTGAATAATTTCTGTATGCCAAAAACCAATAATTCTGTGACCAGACATGCATGTGCGCTGCGAACACTGAAGTATTTTTTATGTTGCACTAGCTACTTGCCGCATAGACTTGTCCGAATTTTTCAACGCATTGCTAATAATTACGAATAAACAAAAAAAAACAAATTGGTATCATTTGAAAATGGAAACTTACATTGCTATGTGCAAGCACTTAGCTGGTCACCTCAGAAATGTCACATAGAGAAAACTAATTTAGAGCGGCAGTTTCAAGGCATGGATGGCATCAAGAGTTTTCTGGCTAGTTACTTTAGCGTTCAAACTTTTTTTCGGGCTGGAATGCTCCAGGTTATTTTTCCTACACTTCTTCCTTAAAAACACAGTTTTTATCACCACTTAGAAGATACCAATCTCAAAACTGGGGTCAGTTTATACATTTCATTTTTGTGAGTGCGCAGTTGGACCACATTAAATTCTTGAATTAGTTCTACGCACGGAAGCAAGCATACACCTCCGGAATTCATTTCGAGGACCCGGAGGTCTTTAGCGCACACTGAAATCTAGTGCATGAGTGCTATTTCAGTGCGCTGCGTAAAAAATGCAGCCCCACCAGCGGCACAACTCCCAAGTCACAATAACTCACCAAAGTCGGTGCTTGAGAAATCAATGACTTCATTTTGTCTCTCGAAATATACGTTTCAGCGTATACATTTAAAAAGCTTGTGAGGTGAATATTGCTCAACTATAACTGCGCACCTGATTTTCATCGCAAGCAGGGTTCACCTGTTTTAGTGAGTCAAATATTCAAGTGCATTTGTGTCGTTCAAATAATCTATTAACAATTAAATGAAAGGCTGATATTTCAAATTTACTTTCAAACTTTTCACGTGGTTGAGCATGCCACTGCGCCTACACTCATAAGGGTTGGTTTCGGAAAACTGAGATTGTTATTGTTCCTCTCTTTTCGGTAGGTCTTGAAACAATTTGGCCAAAACATTCCGGCTTATTTCGAAAAAGTGAACACTTGGAAAAAAAACAGAGTAAAAACCTGCTAACGTGGCGAACTCAGACTTACTTTATTGTTTTTCTTTGAAGCTTTGGCCTTGCATATGGACGCTGTAACAAAGCACTAAAAACAAAATGAACGGATCGGTAAGCATGAGCCTCACATATGTACTGAGGCAACAGCAACAGCGACGCGTTGTTCAGCAGAGGAAAATGAATGGGCAGATTACGTCAGTATATAAGGACGTTGGTTTCACAAATGATGCTTACATTTCACGAGAATAAGGCGGATGACCAGGAGACCATGAATCTCACATGCGTGCTTCTCCTTCTGTTTTGCACGGTGTTTACGCAAGGTATGTTCCAGATATTTCATGACCTATCACGCTAAAACATATAGCATCGCGTATGCAATTTGGTCGACCAATAGTATCATTATATATATATATATAATATATATAATATATATATAAATATATATATATATAAATATAATAATATATATATATATATAATATATAATATATATATATATATATATATATATATTATATATATATATATATATATATATATATATATATATATATATATATATTGTTTTAAAATGACTTTGCACCCACACCAAACGGTGCTTTGTAGCAATTGAAAATTTTGAACGCTGCCTGTTTGAGAGCGATGTTTTGGTGCGACTTACCGCGCATTGATGTAACCTCAAGAAAATATACGAACACATATTTAATAATGCTACACAACGATATATAAACTTCTCCGTCTACAAGTACTAGTCGGATGCCTCGCCTGTGAGACTGTCTGCTTTGTTTATTTATTTTAAATGTTAACTTTCATCTGTGATGCTTGGTAGACCAATCTAACATATATTCACAGGAGAAGCAATGCAGATTTAACTAAGACGACCAGTCCGGTAACGAGTTCTTAGAACGTGTACACCTTATTTATGTTGTTAACAAGTTAGCAAAAACGGTTGTTCATTATGAACACTAGGATCTGCATGGACTTTGGACATTTCTGACTACCAATTACTATGAAGACCCTAAATCTTTATGTGCTGAAGTTGCTTGCATTATTCATTATAGACCCTCGATTACCTACTGCCATTGCTTTACAAGTGTTACCACGTTCTCTATTGCAGCTCCGCAAAGTATAGTACGGTATTTTACTACTAGGATAGGCTGGGCTGTAATAAATTCCGTAGGCACTCTGTAAGTCGTTACAACGCAATGTAAAACTACTTTACTGCAGTACCTAGTGGTATTACATGAGAGAAATATTAAAAGGAAACGGTGGCCAGAGGCGTTGTGGTTTCGTGCTATACAGGTGAGGCACGCTAACTGCGCAGCTGTTATAGTGATCAAATCCTTATACACTTGTGGATGATTTCTCCCATCTACAGAAAATTAGACACTGAAAGACTTACCGTTTCCGCATTGAGTCCTCTCCGATACTTCGTGAAAGAAACACTCATATTTTGAGCGTTTGTTGCCTTATTTGCTGACGCTGGTTACCTGACCCATGGAATAACACTGGCATGAAAAGAGGAAAAAAAACAGAAGCCGGGAGTTAGCTATAACTGTTTCTGCCATTTCGTCTCGTTCATGCACTACCTTACAAAAAACAAGGCCCGCCACTGCAAACAATATTGAACTGGTTTGTCAACGATTGAAGATTATTACTAGCGTAAAAAAACTATAAAAAGACGAAGATAAAACAGAAAGAGCGCTCTTATCTATCTATATTCACTTCAGTTTTTTTTTATCAGTACGGAATTTGAAGTTCAGAAAGGAACTAAATTGAAGTCTGCCAAATATTTCAATATAGGTGCCTATTTTTGTACGCTTCATTCTCATAATTTCTGAAGACCCATGTAAGAATTCTTCTTGTGGCCGTAACAATGTGTTGATTACGTGAAGGTGAAGAATTTCTATATTGTTTTGCAAGTGACTGATATATGTCTTCTATCTATCTGTGATTTATGAAAAGATACGACTGAATAATAGAACAGATGCAAAATGCGTTGCCATAACGTACATCTGTATAAATAAAAATATTGAAAGGAGACTGTGGCTGAAAACAACCCTTGTATAGTCTTTTTCAAAGCAACAACAGGATGGTTCTTTCAAAGGCAGCAAACGGTTTTTCATTAAGAGACAAGACCACTAGCCTGTCGCACTCATCCTGTTTTCTTCTTTTTTTCTGTCATTTTCTTCTTTGCTACTATATCTTTTCATGATTCTGAAACGGGGTTGCCTTATTTCGATACGAGACTGAAACGTACCAACCTGCCCATTCTGCGGCACAATTTATTTAACCGTTCACTCATGCGACACCCCTGGTACAAAAAATTGTCATGTCAACATTTTATTCTACCCTGATCTTTTGCTTATTTTGACACGTTTGCCCGACAATTGTAGTACATTTTTCATTTATATGTGCCACTGTCTTTACATAATGTCGCATTGGCCTCTTCATACGGTAAGTCATTTTTTATATTGGGGTTCAATTCAAGCAATTGTTCAAAAGCGTTCAGATATCTATTGACCATGCCACTATTCAATACGAAGCATTTCTTAGTGAAATTCAGTCACTTTAGGCACGTCCTCTATTCTGTTTTATCTATCTATCTATCTATCTATCTATCTATCTATCTATCTATCTATCTATCTATCTATCTATCTATCTATCTAAGCCTCCTTTGTCTGGATGGTATTGTGATGTCCCCTTTAGTTTGACGTCGACAGAAATTATATTTGGATCGTGAAAGGGTTTGGGGAATAGGATTGTCTCATCATTACGGTGAGAACAAACATTCGCAATTGAAATGCGAGAACGCCAAAAAAAAAACATAGGTAGAACCCACGTACCTTGGAAATCGATGTTATGCAAAGCATATGGGGGAACCATGAACGCGTTGTGAGTTCTTTATTGGGCGACAGGCATAAATGACTCTAATATAGGTATAATTGTTGCATGCACAGACATAGGTTGAAGAGTTCCAAATATTTATATAACCATTTCTTTGCACTAGCGCAACGATGTCAAGAAGAGCATGAGCATTAGCAACACCAGAAGCGATGAGCTGATATGAAGTTATGCTGTCCGCGAGAATGGTACCCAGGTACACTGCTACTTAAATCGACTTCAGTGCATATTACTTAACTCCAATTGACGGTAACCCGACGTGAGGTTTGTATCATAGGAGCACATATGTAAAGTTTATCAAAATGCATAGCCAGGACTGCAACCATCACTGACGTTTCACGAACATTAAGGTCATATGAAAAAGTAGCTTCGAGACCTGGCATGGCTCTGCGTTAGAATGCTTGATTGCACGAAGAATGCTTGGGTTTGATTTTTTCTGGGGGTCTGACATTCGTTCTTCGCATTCTTGTCGGGTGAACGCTGCCAATGTAAGGCTTTCCTTGACGCTCATGTGGTAAGATTGCCCACTGATGTTATCATCGTTCCGGGTAGATACTAGATTTCATAACTAATATGTGGAGTTAAACATAACAAAAGCACCTTATTGTTATAAAAGGCACCGTAGTGGAGGGCTCATGAATTTTTGACCACATGTGGTTTTGTGGTCAAAAATTGTGGTCAAAAAAGGAATTTTTGGCCGTAGTGGAAGGCTGAGGAGGCACCCAAGCGCATGGGCATGCAGCATTTTCGCCTGCGTTGAAAATGTAGCCCCCACAGCCGAGATTCAATTCTGTGACTGGCTGGTCGGCAGTCGAGTGCCTTAGCCACTAAATCACCGCCGAGGGGACAGAAACAAAGTTCATCCACCTGTTGCACATGTCCGCATATTAGTGGAACATACCCGCTGGTGGGTATGTGCCACTGTCTGGCGGGAAGTGTGACGACGTATGTGATGGAATTGTAATATTATTCATGTCTTGAGAAGAAGAAGCCGAAGTGTGCGAACGCTTCAACTACGGCTCCTGCTTTATTCAACGTTTTTGCGACGCCACTTTGTGATTTCAACGTCATATTAGTGCAACGACTTCCAGAAGACACAAGGACTCTGCCGACACAGTTTGGGCGCAGTGAGTGCTTGCTTCTTGCATTTTATTTCGCCTCCGCCATCGTCGCTCGCCCACCGATAGCTAGCCCTGACGAGTGTCTTCTTCGCTCTAACGTGGCGCGTGCTCGCTCGCGCGCCCCGTAGCTGCACTGTCTCGCTGAGTGATCGAGTACCACGTGTCAGGGGAAGACATTGACCCGAAGGAAATCACGCTGGACCAAGGCTGGCAGACCACCTCTTGTCGCCGAGCCTAAAATGAAGGCTCCAAACGTGTGCCGTCATATAGCGCTTCGAAACGCAACGAGCACAAGCCCCGCAACAGAAAAAATGTGAAGAACAAAATTATTCGAGCAAGCCGAATGCCTCAACTACCAAAAAACGACATCCGCATTATCATTAGGCCCAGAGGGGATCTTGGCATCACTAGGGTTGGCCCAACGACGATAGCTGGAGCCATTTCGACTTCGGCAGGTATCAGCTCATTGGAACAGCAAGCAGACACGCTCTGCCCCAACATTAAACAGAATATCTTAGTAGCAAGCACGCCGAAGAAAGAAAATGCTAATCGCTACGTGCGCGTTAAAGAAATTCGCATCGCTCACAAGACCTATGAAGTTATGCTGTCCGCGAGAATGGTACCCAGGTACACTGCTACTTAAATCGACTTCAGTGCATATTACTTAACTCCAATTGACGGTAACCCGACGTGAGGTTTGTATCATAGGAGCACATATGTAAAGTTTATCAAAATGCATAGCCAGGACTGCAACCATCACTGACGTTTCACGAACATTAAGGTCTATATGAAAAGTAGCTTCGAGACCTGGCATGGCTCTGCGTTAGAATGCTTGATTGCAACGAAGAATGCTTGGGTTTGATTTTTTCTGGGGGTCTGACATTCGTTCTTCGCATTCGTCGGGTGAACGCTGCCAATGTAAGGCTTTCCTTGACGCTCATGTGTTAAGATTGCCCACTGATGTTATCATCGTTCCGGGGTAGATACTAGATTTCATAACTAATATGTGGAGTTAAACATAACAAAAGCACCTTATTGTTATAAAAGGCACGTAGTGGAGGGCTCATGAATTTTTGACCACATGTGGTTTTGTGGTCAAAAATTGTGGTCAAAAAGGAATTTTTGGCCGTAGTGGAAGGCTGAGGAGGCACCCCAAAGCGCATGGGCATGCCGCATTTTCGCCCTGCGTTGAAATGTAGCCCCCACAGCCGAGATTCAATTCTGTGATGGCTGGTCGGCAGTCGAGTGCCCTAGCCACTAAATCACCGCCGAGGGGGGACAGAAACAAAGTCATC